TATATATCTGGTTTTTTTTCATTGTTTTCTCTGTCTTACAAATCAAAATGTAAAAGTAAAATGTTTTAGCAGTCAGTGAAATTAATTAACCAGTAATGCATTGCAAATAAGGCATTATTAAAAGCTAATTAGATTATTTCAGAAAGCCAGGTTACAAAGACACTTGAAAACTATTCTCCTAAACAGAAAATGTAAGCAAACTAAAAACATAATTAAATGCATGAAATAGCTCTGTAAGTACTTTGCTTTAGAGTAGTTTTGAATACTAATAGTGATCTGATATTTTTTCCCTGAAACAGGTAGGTATTTTAAGTGCCTCAAGTAATAAATGTTACATTTTTAAATCACTTTGAAAATGGTGTGATTTTGGGGAGACATTTTAATAAAATAATGAGAGAGAACATTTCTATTCTGAACATTTATGTTTGTCAGATCCAGGGTTTAAAAACTGCAGTTTGAGGATGGAAGAAATGTCTCAGGCATTAAAAACGCCTGGAAAATAAAAAAAACCCCAACATCGTTGCTATGTTTTGTTTTTAGGATAACAATAATTTGGGCATTCCTGGTGATCTGATTTCTCCAAAATACTATCTCAGACAGCATAGCAAGCTGCCTGCCACTTCTTTTAAACATGATTTTCAAGGGAATTAGACAATATTATTTTCAAGGATTCATATCATCAGTAACAAGGGATGGAGAGCATATAACATTTTTCCTTTCTTTTGCTCAGGAGTGTCGTCAGACTGAATACATGTTCCCAGTAAGCCATCAGTTCACCACTGTATTATTAATCTGTAACTTTCTGCTAGAAGGTAGCTCGTTCTGCCAACATTTTTTAGTCCTTTCAATTCATGTATTCCAAGTGATATAATTTTTTGCATAAGAGTAATGTTCCCCTTCTGCTCTGTACATTAAAAAAGACGAAATCTTTGGTAGATTTTCTTTGTGCAGATATTTTTCTGTTTAGTTTTGAAGTTGTCATTCTTGTGTACTGCCTGAGCATGCATAAAACTGTAACAGTAGATAGAGCATTACCTATTAAATTTTCTTTTTATCCACATACCACTGATAATCAGTCACTCTACCTGTAATTAAATAAAAAAGGAAACCATTGATACAAGACTACTTTTTTGCAAGAAAGATATTCGCGCTCTAAAATGTAGACACTGCATGACGTTTGTATTTGTAGCTAATAAAGCATGAAACTAAGGGCCTTTGAAATACAAATATTCAAATTAATTTAGAAATGTACCTTGGTCTAGCTCTAAACCTGTGAAAATCAAATAATTATACTCCCAGATGAGGTGGTACATGGCCTTTAATACCAAAATAGGCAAATAATAAGATTAAAGATTGTTTAATCTTCCCAAATAGATTTTCAAAAAAATCCATTCAGACTTTTTCTGCTTATCACCTTTTTAGTAAGTATCAAGTGTAACATGTCTGTCTTCTGGATAGCATAAGACTGTGCTAAAAATAAAATTATTAGTAATAAACTAGGAAATTACTTCTGTCTAGTCTAATTACATGTTATTCACAAAGCCTGGTGGATCTTACAACAAATAAACACTTTTATGCAGTTGTAAATATTATTTTTATTTCAAATGAAAATAGTCATGAAAGTAGCTTGAAGATGTACCCTTCTTAAAAAACAAACAGAAACCAGTTTTACGATCAGAGCTACATAATGGAAAGTTGTAAGAATGGAGCAGATTTAGAACAAATAATGAATTATAAAACAAGGCATTTGAAAACTAGTTTTTTTCTTTTATTAATGACCAAAATCTTCCATCCAGTTTGATTGGGGGGGAGTTTAGGGTTTTTTGTTTACCCAGGATTCTTTACTGTTGGTTTTCCCATATTTTTGGTAGCTGGAGGCTTATTTATCAGATTTTTTTAACAATGAACAGCCCTTTAATCTTAACATGAATCAGTTGCTTCCCAAGTTGCAGTGCTGTCAAATCTAAATTGTAATACTGCTGTTTAGTCTGTAAGTGAGAATTTCTTTGTAAAAATAAAGAAGATACTAACTCTTCCATCATGTTACTTGTTAGGAATGGATTGCTGTGCTGCGATAAAGGGATTTATCAAGGTAGTTTTTGGTAAAGGTGAGGGTCTTTCTCTTCTATACCTTGGCAATATCTGCTATTTTTAAAAGCAGACCACTTTTAAAGGTGGTTTGTTTTAATTAATTGTTAATGAATGAGTGTCATTCCTATAGGAATAAGGAGCAGTAACAGTAACCAAAGATAAAGATGCACTTTGGTGACAGTATCAGATATTCTTTTTAACTGGCAAGCTGACAAAAGGAAAAGGGAAAATGGTTGGGGGAAGAGGGAGATGCTGTCCCTCCCATTTCATATTACCTTTGGAAATGCTGGGGTGATGGGTTATCACTAAATCTGTCACAGAGCACTGAAGAGCACGTGCAGTGGTCAGCTGAACAGCATTTTTCATATTTGTAAAAGGGTTCTGATTTTTAGCATATATTTTATCTTTGGAGAAAATATGGTAGTATCCTGTTTATATATATTTAGTGAACTGCTTTATGATACGGGGTTCTATACGTGTGCTAATATACTAGTGCTCAGCTCACAAATGAGAAGCAGAAAGTTATATTTTTTTGGCAGGGTGGAAGGGCTCCATCGTGCTATTTTGCAAACCGTTTAATAAACCCTTTTTCTGTATTTCTGAGTTAAGTTAGTTCTGTTAATGCACTGCAAATCTTTGTCATACTCATAAAGTATGAATAGGAACGTTAACATTCACCTTAATTCAAGCATGATAGCAGCCTAATGGAAACTTTTTACCAGACATTGTTTATTTAATCAAGATCAGTAACTGGAATCCATGGAAAATTATTTTTCACTGTAAGTCTTAATGATCTAAATGGTAGGGAAAATAACAAAACACATTTTGAGATTGACACGAGGTTGCTGGCTTGTCATCAGCAGCTCGCTTCACTTGGTAGTGATGTGATTTCTCTTTCTTCATTAGTTCCAAGTGTTACTGCAAACCTTCATGGTTATAGAGTTAAATGATGAGCTTGAGTGATTTTTTTGCAGCTCAGTGACCACACAGCAAATTTTTTCAGTGATACGGTCTGCTGCATTTCTTTCTAAAAAGTCAGCTTACAACTTGTGAGAGAGCATGTACATGGGATTCTGTGCCCAGGGGTTTGTGTAGCTTGTAGCTCAGTCTAAACTTGCCTGTTTGGATTGAGAAATGTCATCTGTTTTTGTTTCAGTTGACACACTTCTGCTGTTCAGGACCAAAAGGACAAATCGCAGTCCATTTTACTATTTTTATTTGACAACTCACTTCTGTTGTCTTACCTGTTTGTCTGTTGCTCACATAATCTTATATTTTACCAAAAGGGATTGTCTCTGCTTTTGTGTGTCTGATATTCCAGTGATGAAACTCCGTTGCCTGTAGTGGCATCACACTGGCAGAAGAACTGATGTCACTGTGTGGAGAAGCAGGGGAGAAAAAAAGAAAAAAGAATGATTAAATGGATAGTGTTTTAGTTGGAGAGATGGAGACCAGACTTTTATCAAGTGGGTTTTTTTCAGTGCAGAGCACAGGGACTTAATCAAGTGTTTTTCATGGCTAAGTCTTCACATGCTGTGCTGAAAACTTGCCATTAAGTGTCTCTTTCTGATCTTGAAAGCCTCTTTTACATACTTCTGAGGCACAGCTATTCAAAGGTCATATTAATTGTTCAAAGCAACGTTTCAGCACTGGAATATAAAGTTGTAGAAAAAGAATAACATTTTTATGCTAGAGTGTTTCAGACGTCATTTGAGTAGCAGATGATATTGCTGAAGTAATATGTAGTGGGAAGCTTAGATGATAGGACAGCCTGGGTGAAAGACATTTCACATTTGGAGCTATTTCAGGTAGTTGATAACTATTTGCAAATGGAATAAATTTTGTCAGTGACTTACTGTCAACCTTGTAACTCTAAAATCAAGAGATGTTCTTGTTGATTTGAAGTTCAGCATAGGAGTCATCCTCCACTTCAATAATTACAAATGTGGTCAAACAAAGTTTGTAGAAATTTCTTCTTTAAACAAGTGCAAGTTAAACAGAAAAACTTTTGAGGAGGGAAATGGGGTCTGTTTATTGTTACATATTTATGATGTAATGAGCACTTAAACACTGAGGTACACAGTTCTTTTCACTTTGACCAAACTTTAAAATATGTGGGTGCAAGCATATGTGTTTCCATTGCGCCTGTGAAACCACTGTGGTTGTGTAGAGAAAATTGGGAGTCTATAGTCCTGTAATCCTTTAGTCTTCTTTACATATTAAGATGTTTGTTTGAAACGCGGTTTGTTTTTTTTTTAAGAACAAACATGTAAAATATGGAACTTTATAAGCAGTTGATAAGTAGGTTGTTTGTTAATTATTAGAGTTCTCTAAAAACTTAGAAAATGTTCGTAAGTTTAAAAAAGCTATCCATTATATTGTTACTTGCTGTTCTCTTAACTCCCATGCCTCCTTCTTATGTTGTCTTTTATTTTTATCTCTATTTCCCTTTTAACAATCCCCCTCATTTGTGACTTGTTTTATGACTCTCATTTTTTCCATACTTTGACCTAGAGCATTCTCCTAACTTGAGCTGGCTTGCCTTTTGAAATGGTTGCTTATTTGACCTTTGATTGTGAGAGATCCTTTGCAAGTCTTTCATCTTGCAGTTTGGAGTTTTTCCCCATGTTCCGTCCTGTCTGCCCCAGACACTCCATCTGGTCTCAGTGCTGTTCTGCTGTCTTCCTGTACCTACTGCTTCTGCTGTAGGCTCTCCCGGTCTGCTTGCTTCCCTGCAGCCAGCTCCTTGCAGCCTCAGAGGAAAAGGCAACCTGGCTAAGAGGACATCTACTTTTTTCTAGTTTTGCTCAAGTTTCCCTGGTTAGGCAGCTGTGGTCATTTCCATTCGTCTTCTGTTCTTATATCTATCAGCATTGATCTTACAAGGCTCTTACATTCCATGTTAACAGGGAAACTTTTCTTTGTGCTTCAAACCCACACAAAGCCCATGTTCTCTGGTTTTGTGTACAGGTCAGTATCACTCATTATAAACATTACAGAAATCGGTTTTGTACATAAATACATACATAAACAAACATTTGTGTTTTCTCTGTGGAGTATATTACACACTCCTGAGTTAATTGTTTAAGTTAAAGTGCTGTAGGAAAATACTAAGAATAGCTTTGGGAATTTTTATTTTATTTCTACAGGAAATAACCACTTGCTTACCAGAGTACTACAAATGGACACAATATCTCTTTCTTAAGCTTTTTGAAGCTGGGATAGTGTATCAAAAAGAGGTAGGTGCAAACTTCGACCTTTATACTTTTCAGGTGCACTTGCTCAAGTCACTCATGTCAGTGGCACATTTTTGCATCATTCATTCACATTCATTAAGTGGATTGTGCTCTCTTGGTTTTAAATCACTGCAAAACAGAATAGATTTTATATATAACTGAATTTTATATGTAACTAAATTTTATATTTAACTAACTAACATGAATAGGTATTGTAGCCAGTCAAATCTGAAATGTTTATTGTCAGTAATTTACATTGAAGTGCAGGATCAGAATATAGCTACTATTAGTTTATTTCATGGCTTTAATATAGAATTTTCTAGATCTTAACTTCCCTTTCATGAAAACATACTAGATAATGTGATCTTTCGGAGTCTCTTCAGCAGTGAGATTATTTAACTGTACAACATTACTGTGATACTGTCTCAGAACTGATAGGATTGGATAGGATAATAGGAGATTATGTGCCTAACCGTCCAATTCCTGGACCCTGTTGGTGATGTCTAAAGTATTACAGAAATATTAGGTGCTGTATGACTATCACAGCTGTTTATCTGTTAGCAGTACTTTAAGAAATTATTGACCTTACAGTATTTCATAAATAACATGTATCAGGCTACCTGAAAAGGGAAGGGTTCAGTTAACTTCTTAAGCAGGAGGTGAAACAACGATGTTAAATGAGCATTCCAAAGAACTCTCTGTATAGCCAAGGCAACGCGGTTCCAAAATACGTGAATAGCTGCATGTAAACAAAGCTGCAATTTAGTGAACGTTTCTAACTTAAAATGGAAACTAAGATTTCTTAAATATGCTTTGATGTTTCATCTGTATTCTGTAGAAACCAGGAAACTCCATAGGATATAATTAGGGATGTACTCTAATTATTCTCTGAACCCAGAGAAAGAAGTTGATGGGGAAAGGTTGCATTTGGAATGGCAGGGTGTTACTGAGCTACTTCTATTTTCGTAGGCAAGATGTATTCGGAAATCTTAAATAACAACCAGCAAAAAGATTCAATATTTGATACTTCCTAACGTGCTGGATTTACGGTGGGGTTTTTTTCATTGTTTGTTTTTTTTTTCTGTAATTATTTTTTGTGTTTGTAATAAAAAATTAACCCCTTAGCTTTGCCATAACAAACTTATTTTTATCTGTAAATTTGTTTGCTTGACAAGTGGCCCCAGGTGAATCTGAAAAGCAAGAGGCTTGCTGCTTCGTTAGAAGCAGTGATGATAGACAAAAAAAATTTTGCATGCAGGCTCCAAGTAGTGTGGGATCCTGGAGGTGTTTGGGTACCAGTGATTGGATCTACTTCCCTCTTAAGAGTCAAGGATCAGTTTGAGGACTTAAATCAGCATCTGTCAACCTGTAGGGCACGTAATCTCTGGTGGATATGAACCAGTTGCTTTTTGGCAGGAAACAGATGGCAGAGCTAGCCCGTAACCCTGGGTCTTTTCAAACAGTCATATATACTTAAAGCATGTATTTATCCCATGCTGTCAGCATATCTGTAATATATGTTAGGCAGTACTTTTGCACAGCTTGAAGTCTCCTGTATTACAATTTCATTTTGGGTACAAGGAGATAATTCATAGCCTTACTGTGGCAATAAGAATAATACATGTAGAGTGTTAGCCTAGTTAATGCTCTGTTCAGGAGTATATGTGTCTGGCCAGAAATTACCCTGGCAGGGAGACACAGAATGTCCAGGAGCTGCAATTACTGAGAATTAACAATGTCTGTCTGGGTGCCACAGCATCCGTTGAGGGCATCTTTATTCACTGTAGCAAAATCCTCTCTCCCTGCAATACTGATCTAGTCAATACGCTGTAGAGGTTATTGCCCTGGCTAGATGTGGGTGTCTCATTGAGGCTGAGATTAATAGCTACCTAGACTCTATTATTTTGATTAGATAGCGGTAGACTGTAATGGAACTATAGACACCAAACCTGGAGATACATAGTTATGCTATAGATACCTGAAGTTAGACGAGATGAATCCTACCTTAAAACCATATGGTCTATATTGGTGTAGTGAGGAGATCTAAATAATTGACGTGCTCTATACACTTTTGCACTGGGCTCTCTTTGTGTAGATGACTTTTAGCAGCTTCCTGGGGCCATAGTTTCAGATGCTGTCATTGTCAAGAAGGTGCCTGTGTGAGGTACAAGTAGGAACTAAGGATTTAATTTAATACCCAGATTCTGGATATTAGTCAATAGGCTGAGAGAGATGGAAGGAACAAAATGCAACTTTAAAAATTCACAGACAAGACCTTTCAGCTATGGATTTCTTAAATGCATATTTGCTTGATTTGTTTAGATAAGTCTTCCTGTTACGAATCATGAGGATATGTTATGCTAAATAATTATACTCGTATAAATAATTTCAGTTACCTTCTAAAATTTTCATCACAAATTTAATCCAGTATCATCAAAGTAGAAACAGTATTTTTTTCTCAACTTTGAGTCGTAGCTAGTTTAATACAAGCATATGCTAATACTGCTTTATGCAACTGGCATTTTATTACTTCTTAATATTATCTGATTTATCTGTCTTTAGGTGTTATATTAAGTTTGTAGTGGTATGGGATTTTTTTCAAAAATTTTAATTTATAAAGATCATTACTTTAGAGCCAACTTCATAATGTGTTGTATCATTACTGAAGAAGTTGTGTGTTCTGAAAGTCTAGAAAATAGATCTGTAATAGTGGAATACATTGATTGCTCTTAACTTCCCAATGAATTTTCAGAAGCCTCTTATAAAAACCAGTGTGGTGTTATTGGTAGGTAACAGATAAAAGGTAGGCAAAGTGTAAAAAGTTTAACCAGTGACATATAAGCTTCATTTGAAGGTGAGTTTGTTTTTTTCAAAGAGTGACTTTCATTCATTTCATTATAATAAATTTTGTATAATCAGTGTAGATAAGCAGACTTCATGTGCACACATGCGTGTACGCACACAGACACACACACTGATAACAAACCAAGCAACAGTATTCCTAAGGAGGAGGATCCATGCATCTGTCTTTCTGCTGTCATCACTATAAGATTTGTAAAATGGTTGTGATATTTACTATTTCTGAGAATATGTAGCATATTTAAAACTAAGCAATATCAGTTGTTTGGAAACTGCGGCATTTCAGAAGGTGATTGGTGATAGATAAAATGTAAAGTGAGTAACATGAGGACAGTGATTAGTTTTTAGATTGAGATACTAAGTCCTCCCCATGCCCAAAGAATGATGTTTAATGTATTAGAACGCTATGGAGCTGGAACTACTGCTTTTCAGTCAGGCTGATTTAGCTCTGATTTAGCTCAAATACTAAATAACACTCAATATAATGGATTACTCTTCTTTATCGCTTTGTGGGTTTTTTTCTTTTTCTTGCTGTTCATTTTTTCAAGTTAATGTCTAGCATTGAATACCACTTCTATAATGGCCATTAGGATTCATTTATGGTCTTAGATCCTCTATGATAAATGATCAGCTAAACTGTTCAACACTGGAGGGAGTGAGTTTGATTTTTGCTCCCTCCCCAGTATGTTATGTCAGGTGTTTCAGTTAGGCCTCAAAAACCAAGGTTTGTGGAGTTGAACATCAACATTTATTTCACTTTAGATTTTCTTTAATGTATTTGTATTGATAAGGAAAGATGATTCCAAAAGTAGCTCACAGTTGACAGAAGTTATGTGCAGAAAATACCAACTCTTTCACTTGAAATATAGTTGACCGCTATAATACTTCTTTGTGATTCTGTCCTCTGGAGATCCTCAGTTATTCACCCCCCTCAGTCTGACTCAGTGCTTTTGGATTAGTGGTGGACAGCTTTTAAGCATCAGACTATGTAATTTGCAGTATAGCCAACTGGAACACCTACCTATTTAATATTCAAGTGTCAGCCTATCCCGCTAGCATGATCAATCAAGACAAATGCTGCCAACTGCATTCTTGAGAAGGTGAATATTCAAAACATCTTCACTTGAGTCCATGTTGCTGATTCAAATGGATGTTATAAAAATGTAGAAAAGTCAGGGGACCAAGGAGTGTTTCTGGATAATTCTTTTCGTGTCTGAAAAGTAAGATTCTGCGTTTGAAATAGCTTCTGAAAATATTTTTTCTTCTTGCAACTTTTTTTAGGCCTTGGTTAATTGGGATCCAGTGGATCAGACTGTTCTAGCTAATGAACAGGTGGATGACAATGGTTGCTCATGGCGTTCAGGAGCAAAAGTGGAACAGAAATACCTCAAACAGTGGTTTATCAAAACTACTGCTTATGCAAAGGTATGAGAATACAGTTTTTGGAAATTATGGTAGCACTTAACAGGGGCAACTTTTCCAATATTCATCAAGCTGAATGTGGTCTTTTATATATGCATGTATGTGTAATATATAATTATACAGTAATACATGTGATCTATCCCTGTGTATGTATGTATATAAAAATTATTATCCCTGAAGTCTTTCAGTTCACGTCTTTAAGAATTCTAAGTAATTGGTGTGGGATTAAGTTTTGAAGAAATCAAAAAGCATAAATTAGGAGTGAATGAATGAATTCTGCATTCACACGTTGTCATCCTGTGTTTACCATCAAGTGTTTTTCTGCATATTTTGAGTGTACAGCTGTGCAATCTTTTGAGCCAGAAACTTGTTTGCCTAGTCAACCTATTGGACTTACGGGCATGGTATAAGCAGTGGCATGCAGCCTGTCACCTAGCGTTCATTTCCACTTGTGTCTGAACCATAGTTCTTTATGATTAACTGCTCTTAATTGAAGATTCCATCTGGACCTTTTGTTTTACTTTACTTCATACTCCACTCTATTTGATTATTCGTAATTTTAAAAATATTTTCAAGTTCTTTAAACATCCTGTTTTGTTATGAGCTCAAATTTTGATTGTGATTGGACAGCATAGTTTCCACACCTAGGAATTCTTCAACAAAATTTTGGCATTATGCTCTCTGAGATGAAAAGTGACGACTACCTGTTTTGTCTGAGTGAAGTTTTTATTCCATCCAAGTGTTCTGTGTATTGAGACTTCAAGTACAGATTGAGAAAGTTATTCCCAAGGAAATATTAAAAATTAATCTTTGACCCCTTTCCTGACCCTCAGATTCAAGAGATCAAATTTCTACCATCATCCAGGGAGAAGAAATCCAGGTCTCACTCTAGGTGCATTCATGATAAAGAGAAAAACTTTAGATATCCTGCCTGATGCTTTGATTTCTCATACACAGAGAGGGTGCTTGATGCACGTTTTCTGATTGTGCTGCCTGTTCTGGCAGTAAGGAGGGAACATTTGCTGTAGCTGAAGGAAAAATGGAGCATGTCTGCACAATCACAAAATGATCACAATGTTCTGAGCTTTTTCTTGGTGCTCTTGTTGCCAGATTTCATGATCACCTTCGTGATATTTCAGGGTCTGCCCCAGCTCACTGTTTCCCTCAATTTGAGGCTGGAGCTTCATTAGAGTTTCTGATACATCTTTTGTCTATTGTCTTTATAAAGGTTGTAGGAAATAATGACTGGTATTTCTGGGCTGTATCCCTGCTTGCACCAAATCACTGTTCACTTATCTCCCTCTAAGAGGGGTGAATCAGCCTTAAATTTTTACTCCTAAAGACCAAAAGACAAGACTGAGGAGCTTTTCAGTAACCTTGAAAACACCCTTGACTTATGGGATTATTACCTCTTGCTCAATATCTGCCCTCCTCTAGGGAGGAGGATTTCTTTTGTCTTTAGTCTCTGACCTAAGAAATGTCATTACAGGAAAGGCATCAGCTCTTGGGCTGATCACATCTCCCACATGTCATTCTCTAGTAAGTAGGCTCAGCTGATGACAAGAAGGAACTTGTGCCTCCACAACAGCCCCTCATTTCCCCCCCATAGATGTCACCTCAGGAGACTACCATATCCCCTACCTACATGAAGGTCAAAAGTGCAAACAACCCCTTGTTCTTGAACATCTCAGTGGCATCATAAATGAGAGCTGCTTCTGCTTTTCATTTGGGGATGAACATTTATATCAACCTGTACAAAACCTTTAAGCATTACTACAGAGGACAGCTGAGTACTCTACAGATGTCTGTAAAGGTTTCCCAAAATTTTGTTCTGCACGATTGATATTCTGTAGGGTCTATGCTAGCTGATACAACCAGGTTGATGAATGATGCCATATTGCTCCCAGCTCAAGTGCTTTGGCAAGCATTGTCTTCATGTGCTTCCACTTATTCTACAGTGACAGATGCTACCAATGATCAGCAGGTGGTTTGGATTTTCCTTTTTACTCACCTTCCACTGAATCCCATTTCTGTTGCTGTGGTTCTGGCACATTTTAAGCAGTCTCACTCTGCTTCTTTTGGCAAAGTCTTTGAACATTTGGTTGTAGAGAGGGAGAAAAAATTACTTTTTTCCCCAAAACCTTCAAATAAGAATAGCAGATTACCAGGCTCTGCTGTTCTAAATCCAATATCTAATATTAGATGGATTTCATCCTTTGGAAGATTAAGATAAATACATTCCCTTTTTTGGTACTTATGTTTTTTCTTTCAAGTTACGAGAGGCTAGATGATGTAGCATGTTGTGCCTTACTTTCTAAAGAAGACTGTTTTGGCCATACAGCTCTGAATAGCCCATGAACTGCAAGCTGCAACCGACGATTGTCCATGGAAGGGAGACCGTCTCTGAGCTAGCACTGGCCAAGTACTTCAGTCTCTTAGAGACTCTGTGCCCACACTGGCATAACCAAGAAGCTTCCCAGTAGTATTTTGACAGAAGCCAAATTACAGATCTTAAATGCTACAACTTTGGCTCCTCTTTCTGAATATCTTGACTAATTATCCTCAAAACTCAACTTTGCACACATTTCTTCATTCCTTACCGTAGTCATCCTAGTACTTTTCAAGGAGTGGTAAGAGACATGAGTCCTTCCTTCTAAATCTGTTTCTTTTGTATACTTTTTCTTTGGATTCAGGCTGTTGACAGTTGATCTGAATCTATATCATCCTAAATAGCATAGTGTTGAACACCATGGTTACAGCAATCACTCTTCCTAGCCTATTCCTCAAGCCTTTTCCCCACCTCTTTTCAAAAGCCCTTCCCAGGAGACTGGACTTTATTGAAAGATGTTCATTTACTTTTATCATTTACAGAGCCTTTCATCTTGGAGTGGAGGGTCCAGATTTTACAGAGCTAGTCCTAATTGATGTGGAGGATAGAGACATCTCTTTAAGAAGCTAAAGATCTTTAATCACTAATATGATTTTAGGATGATAACATTAGTGGTGATAATACCTTCACTTCAGCAGGGGGGATTATTTCATGTCTCTTGATCTTGAAGACACTCATGTCCATAAAGAGATTTTCCTGGCTTACATCATGGACTGGAACCACTACCAGTACAACTTCCCTTTCTTGAAAGTCTTTGCTGTTCAGAGACTTCAGATATTTGTGCTTCTAATGATGAATGAGTACAATTAGGTTCTTTATGGATCTCACTTTTCTTTTTCTTCAGTTGTTTGGGGCTTGCCATGAACATGTGTATAGTACCTTCTCTGCAGTTATTTTCAGGCACTTGAAGGCTCAGGATGCTGAAGTAGTAGAAAGCATTTTTATCCAAGCTGGGCTTAGATGGTGAAGGTTGCTTATGGCACTCCATATGCCAGACTCCTGTAAATGGGAAATCTGAGAGGACATTAAAAAGATTATCTTTAGTGGGGATTTCAAATCCATGGTCAACATTTTTGCATTAAAAAAAACCCTAATAGAAATAGAAGTTTGCCCTTCCAGAACTTGTCTGGCCCTGAGGTCTTTATTCCCCATTTCTGAGTCAATTGCCTGTTGAACGTTTTTTGTCCAGTTCTGCTTCTTTTGAAGGTATCCAGAAGGTTAAGGCAAGATGGTGCCAGATTAGCGTGGTCAAAATCATTCTGATCCAAAGATCGTTTTCTGTCAGTATAGAGTAGCTTTTAAGTCTTTGAGCTATACTGCCAGAATTTGTATCAGAGCACACCTAGCCCCATATTTCCTGTATCTCACAACTTGGACAAGTTCATGGGTACGGAGCAGATTTATTCCTTCTTTGTGTGAGATGTTCTTACATCTTACATGTGTGATGTTTGGGAAAAGGTAGAGCGTGAAGTGGATGAAGCTTTCGGTGAGTTGTATGGCTAGATTTCTGTTATCCACTGAAGTTTCACTACTTTTTATTTTGAAATTAAAAAAAATAGGAGGCATGAAGATATTATCTGATAGTAATTTAATCCTTGCACCTTTTGGGGAAGATTTGTACTTTTTTCCCCACTTTGGCTACTGTTAGACTTAGAGGGTTAGTATTCTTTAAGTGTGTTCTACTTCTCCCACTCATCTTTCTCCACTGAGGCCTTAATCTGGTTTTGGTATTTCATGGGGAAAGCCGTTTGATTCTGGGCACCTTTTGCTTGCATCTTCAATGGTGACTTATTTCTTCTGAAAAGTTTACAGAAATTCAAGACCAAATGTCAGGAAGTTCCACTTTCCCTACCCTTTTTCTGCAAGAAGACTCTCTGCAAACCTGTTCCCTATTCCTTCCAGAATTTATCCCTGAGTTTTCTTTTAAGTTGACACAGTGGAAAATCATGTTGAAAAAAAGCTTTATTTCTGGTAGGTAACTCTTTTCCTCTGTGGCTTAGAGAAAAATGTAAGTCTTTGTTTCATAACCATATTCCATAGACAAGGTTCGGTTTAAAACACATTTAATGAATCTGCTATCCCTTAATTCTTCATGCAAATTACCAGCTAGCAATAATGGCTGAATATATATGCATACAACTTATTTTCTACTTGGAGCATCCACAAATTATTTTGTTGCAACTATTCAACCTATTTATACTGAATATTGATGATCTTTCTAGTCATCTGTGTTCTGCTATTTCACCCATGTCTCATTTTACATTTTTTCCTGTGTCTCACAACCTTAATAAAAACAAATAGTAGTAAGGGTAATCTGCATCTCTAATGCTTAAATTACTAGGCGAATAGCAACAAGAAGTTACGTGATCAGTAATTGGCTGTGAAGTCATCTCCTGTGTTACGGGAGTCAGTGTTTCATTCCTACACACCCTATTCTTTAGCTCTCTATTGTGTCCAGAGGAATCATCTTATGTGGATTTGCTTTGATTTCTTTATTGTTACTGCACCAGCTCATAGTCTGTCCTTGAAATAAAAAATACAAACTAACAAAGCAGTGTTGGCCCACATGGCAATTTACCATTGGCAGTGAATTTTTTTCAAAGGGCAAAAATAT